GGACCTGGCAGAGGCGGCGCGCGCCCAGCTGGCGGCGCTGCAGCAGCAGCTGCTCACCAAGGCGGGCGAGGCGGCGGCTGCGGAGGCGGCGGCCGCTGAGAAGCTGCAGGCGTCCAAGCAGTTCAAGCAGCTGCAGCAGCTAATGGCAGAAAAGGTGAGCGCACTGCAATAACCGAAAATGGAGTCAATTGCCAATTGACTTGGTGGATGGCCTGCTTGTTATTGGCAAGAGGACCTCCTGCGTCAACGCGACCCCTGCTGTTGCCTCTCAGTGCTGGCCGGCAACCTGTTGCCATGCTTAAGTCCCAACCTGCTCTGCCCCACTGTACCGGGCCTTCTGCTGCCCTGCAACACACTTTGCTGGGCCCGGCAGAGCCAGCAGGTGGTGGCGCTGCGCAGGCGCCTGGCCAAGTACGAGCCCGAGGAGGTGGCCAACGCCGACGAGGCCAAGCAGCGATAGATGCACGCAGCTACGTGCTGGCGTGTGTGGTGGTTGTGGAACAGCAGGAAAACCGCGTGGTGCGGCTGCACGCCAGCCGAGAGGAACCCAATGCAGGACAGCAGCACAGCACACCAGCCGGCGCGTGTATGAAGTTGGCGTCAATCGGGGTGTATTGAGGGGGGGGGCAAAGACTGTGTCCGTGTCAGCCGGGTTCACATTTCTGCCACAGCTTCATGCCACAGCTTCACACTGTGTGTGTTCTTGACGGTGATGTTTGCTTTCAGGACGCATCGCCTGACAGGTGGTTAAAACAAACAGTCGGTAAATGGTCGCATAACCGTTGAATCCGCCAGAACGCGTGAGCGTCACCATCACTGCATCGGGTCGGTCACAGTGGTCGCAAATGTGCTAGGTCAGTCATTCAGCAGGCGAGTCAGCGCTCCAGTCAGATGCTGGTGCACTTGCGCATGGATGGTCAAAGCAGGGCCTGCACAGCATCACAGCAGTGGCAGCCGCAGCAGAACAGGGCAGCAAACGAATACCAGCAAAGTGCGCAGGGTATTCCTCTTGGCACGCACCCCAGATAGTTGCAAAGAGACGTGGGCAAATATAACCCGGCGCTGGGGCGTGCGGGGTCTCAAGCCCCGAGACAGTGTCGCCAAAAGCTGCGGGGACAGTGCCAGGCAGCGCGCGCTGCCAGACGCGTGGTGGCGTGCCTGTCGGGCAGCCTCTCCTGTGAGTGGGCCAAACGCTGTAAGCCCTGCGGAGTTGGGGGCCACTGGGTTCAACCGTGCTGGTTGATGCAAGAGTGGGGCGCGCAGTGATGAGGCATTCGCGATACGAGTGGGCGTAGTGGGAGAGGGCAGCCAAAAATAGGCAGGCGGTTGGACATAAGCAGCAACGCCACGAGTCATGTCAAGCCGTCACCTGCCTCACAGCAGGGTCGGGTGTGCCCAGCAAACCCAGTTCAAGGGTGCGCGGAAGCGCAGGTGGACAACACACATTGGTGGTACCGGTATGTCGCCCACAAAAAAGCTAGCATGCGGCGGGGAGCAAACGCAGAAGGCCTCAGTTATGGTCATCACAGCAATGTGCCTATACGGCGAGAAACGCAGCATGCAATAATCATATTGACACTGCCTGCGTCGCACAACTATGTCAACATGCGCTCAGTGCGGCAATTAGTAAGCAGTGAAACTCCACAACCCCCCCTGCCGACATGAACGGGCTGCGTCACACTGCGGCCGCCTCTGTTGCCAGTTTGCCCGCAACAAAAGCTGTCATCCTGCCATGCGTGCATGCATGCGAATCCAGGGTCAGCAGGGGCAATCCAGGGCGCCCCGCCCAGCCACCGCTCGCCACGCCCGCCACGCGCAGTCCGCCGCCACCAGCAGTACGGTGAGGCATGGCGCCATCACTGGCGTTGCGAGCGTGGCTGGCACGACTAGGAGCACGACCACAGCGCTCCATGTCGAGCAGATCGCGGGGGACAGGGCCACGAGGGCCAGCATGCGCGCGGGGCCCAGCGACTCGTGCAGAAGCAGGGCGCCGCGCAGAACCAGGCGCCAGGGCAGCAGCAGCAGGTCGAGCAGCAGCACGATTAGGCTGCACTGCAAGGCCGGCACCGCCAAGCGCGCGTTAGCCGCCGTCACCGCGACTGTGCCCTGAATCAGACGTGCGCCTGGCTTTGACGCAGGTCGATCTTGGTAGGACGCGGAGGGGCCTAAGAAGCCAGCTGCCAACCGTGTGGTGGCCACGTTTGAGCGATGGTGCAGCGCAGGTTCTTGAGCAGTCACAAGGGGGCCGCCGCCCCTGCCTTTGCTGCCGCCGCCGCGGCGGCCGCCGCCACTGCCACCGCCGCGAAGGCCGCTGCCGCTGCTGCTTTCGCCGCCGCTGCTGCTGCTGCCGCCGCTGCTGCTGCCGCCGCCGCTGCTGCCGCCGCCGCCGCTGCTGCTGCCGCCGCCGCTGCTGCCGTCGCCGCTGCTGCTGCTGCTGCCGCCGCCGCCGCTGCTGGAGCTGCGGCTGCTGCTGCTGACGCTGGTGGCGCCAGCTGCAGCCCAGGTGCTGCCCGATGGGAATCTCCCTGTGCCAAAGGCGAGCATCTGCGGCTCAACAAGTCGAGCGGGCGTGCAGGGTGCCGCGTCAATCAACGGCAGTGCACGCGCCTGCACACCAGGTGCCAGCAGCGCTTCTGCAACGGCCACCGCTGCCACATCCTGATCGTCCGCTGGCTTGTCTGTACCTGCTCCCTGCGGCGTCTGCACCGCCGCCCGTGCGGCCGTCTGCAGCGAGGGGCTAAAATTGGAGACCTGCAGGTGCATGGGTGGTGCCACCAAAGGTGCCACAGCAGCTGCATGAGCCTCAGACACTGGATCAGGCTCCACCAAGTCAGCTCTGGCAAGCACACCTTCTGCAGCAGTCGGTGCCATGGGCAGCCGCGCCAGACCGCCGTCCGCAGGGGGGACAGGTGGTGCCGAACATGCCAGCAGTGGACCCGCGTGTGTTGGGCCCGGAGGCTGCGCATCGCTGCCTGCTACAGCGTCCCAAGACGGCGGTGACGCGTTGGTGTCCTGCAGACTGCCCGCCACTGGCACTGTCTCCTCTTCAGCCTTGGCCTGGGGCCTGGCAGCTGCAAGGGAGATGCCTTCAAGGCCGCCAGAAGCAGCAGCCATGCGCCCTGCCAGCACGGGGCCTGCGGCGACCCCGGCTACTGCACTGCCAACCGCGCCTCTGAGGCCGCGACCGCTCGCCCCCGCTGCCTCGTCCGGCCATCTGTCGCTGCGCGCTGCCTCGGCGTCAAAGCAGCCGCGCCCCGCCAGCGGGCTGGCCGCGCTGCGTGTGTCTGCTCGCGCGCTGGGGGGAGTGAGCGGGTCAACATGCTGGTTGGCGCCGGCGCGGCGCATCCCGCCAGCGCTCGCAGGCCGTGGGGCATCTTGGCGGGCCGAGAGGCCAGCTGCAGACCAGTACTGCGCCACGCGGAGGTGGATGGGCGTGAAGGGTCCAGCTGCGCCTTCCGCAGACGCGGGCCGGTCTGTCGCAAACGGGCCCCATCGCAGGGAGCCTGGGAGAAGGGAGGAGGGCGGGAGATGGAGGAGTGTCGTTCGCGCCAGGGAGCATGGAGGCGGCCTGTCAGAGCGCGCGCAACACCTTGCAAGTGACACCACCAAACGGATCCCCATAGTGGATTGGATCCCCATAGTGAAGGATACGCATCATGCAGGCAGCAGACACAACCCACCAGACTTGGGCGACAACGGGCTACCAGCCACAGGGCTGCCAGCCAGAGGGCTGCCAGCCAGCGAAAAGTGCCGCACCCGCCCCACGCCGCCGCAGCCACTGTCGCCAGCCCCGGCAGTGCTGCTGCCGCGGCTTAGGAGCGTCAGGATGGTGTCTGATATGCTGGTGGTCCGGCAGCCAATCCAATCAGCGCCGTCCCTGCTAGCGTCGTCATCAGACTTGCTGCCGCCACCGCCAGCCGCCTCGGCACACCCTGCGCCGCCGCTGCCGCCTGCCGCCGACTGCTGCGGCGATGGTGGTGTCTGGGCGGCGGCCGACTGCCCTGCTTGGAATGCCCGGCTGTATGTCGAGGCAAGGGACCCCTCAGAACGCGCCACCGGCCTCGCCCCGGCCACACCATCCAGCGCGGCGGCCGTCGCCGCCGCCAGCTCCGCCGATCGGCCCTTGACGCTTGCCCCGCGCCTCCTCGTCGAGGGCGCGCGCTCGACGCCCTCGACGGGGCTGGCACCGCCGGCGCGGCCCTCCTGCTCTTTTGACAGCCTCCAGACCTGCTCGGCTGCCGCGCTGCCGCCGATTGGCAACGGCTTTGCTAAGAGATGCGGCCCACGGCGCGACAGAGTGTCTTCTCCAAAGTCCACGACCCAGGGTGGAGACTGAGGCGCATTCTGCTGCTGCTGCTGCTGCTGCGGCGGCGGCGGCGGCGGCGCCAAGCTGTTGCTTGCAGTCTCAAAGGTGTCTGGATCAGCAGCCGCAAAATTCTGCGAAGCTGCGCCATGGCGCGGAGTGGTTGGGGCCTCGCTGGTGCCGCCTGCCGAAGTGCATGCTGATGTTGTGGCCGCAGCAGCTCCCTCCTCGCTTGTCAGGCTCAGCATTGCCAGCGCCAGCTGGCGTTGGCTGACTCCATGATACTCGACGCCGCCCATGGGCGTGCAGGGCGGGGTGCAAGCGCCACCAGCACCCAGAGCTGCCGGGACGCGCATGAGCAGGGCGCCCGCCGAGTGGCGTGGGGACGCACGCGCACATCGCCGCCAGGCTGGGATGCTCAACACCTCAGGCACCGCCGCCGTCGCGCGGGCGCTGCAGCGGACGGCGGCAACGGCGTCTGTGCACGGTGGCGCTGCGGTTGCGGCCAGCACGGGGAGCGCGTCTGATGCAGCTGCAGCCGTAGCCAGCCGCGGCGACGGCGCAGCGGAGGCCTCGCCAAGCTGCACACCGCGCCGCCCTGCTGCCGCTGCGCTGGCCTTTCCTTCACTAAGGACAGAAGCACCATTGCCCACAACGCTGTTCTTGTGGCCCATAGGGACCATTCTTTCTTTGCATCCGCTCCCGCTGCCACCGCCGAAGCTGCCTTCAATGCCGTGGCTGCCGCTGCCCCCGCCGCTGCTACCGGTGCCACTGCTGCCTGTGCTGACGAGTGCAGCGGGCGGTGCGGAGTGTGTGGCTGTGGCGCGCGTTGCGCAGCGCTCACTCTCGGCCTCTGCAACTGAGGCTGCTTCCACACAGGCGCACGTGTCGCGGGCAACCGGCTGCAGCTCGCCCGCTTCGGATTTCAGTTGCATGATCAATTTGCGATGTTTTGGATCCCCCTCCAGCGCGCCTCGTCCTTCTGGCCAACACGGGTTGGGCGGCGCGATTGGCTGGGCTCCGCAGTTGTCGCAACTGCCGCCTGCCCTGGAGTCACGCAGCCGGGCGTCTTCGAGGCCGTTGCCGGCTGCGCACGCAGCCCGGCTGTCAGGGGCAGTGTCGAGGTCTTTCTGCGCGCCGGCATTGATGCCGCTTTCACGTGCTGCGGGCATGCAGAACACCAGGTTGAGGCTTGGCAGGTGTGGCTTGGCAGGTGCGGCGTGCACCGCATCACGCTGCTGGGGCTTGGCGCATGCCTGCATGCGGGTGCCCGCCTAGCCAGCTCATTTGCCAGCAAACCCTTGCAACATTTCACACCTGCGCACCCCTGTTTACTCACTAGGCGGGGTACCCCTGAGCCACTCTGTTGGGATGACTGCGTCGCTTTGGCCGACGTGGGGTCGGGAGCCGTATCCGTACATCCAAATTTAAAGGCTCAAGGCATCGTGTACAGCCTTGAGCTGGGCCCTGCGAGTCTTGTAGACGCGTACTTGGCGTTTGGGGCAACGGTTTGGTGACTTCACGACCAATACCTCACACGTGAATCGTCGTATATGATTCTATCGGTGACTGCCAATGGTATGATCCTGCCAGGCCGCTGAACGCACGCCAAGCTGTTCCGTTGTGCCGGATGCAAGCACACACCTGCGGAAGCAGCATTGCACGGTACTTCAAGCACACTTCGACCTGGAAGCCGCTCTGTGCGGATACTTCTGATCATCGAAGTCTAGCTTACGCGCGCCATTGTCATCAGTGAGATCAGCGAAAACCTTGGGCAGTTCCTGGGTCCTCTTCTCCTCGTTGTATGGTGCGTGAGTGCATCACATGATTGATTCAAGACCCTTCTGATGGATTGTCCTTCATCACTTCGTGCTTGGCGAGAGCGGCCGGGGGTTGCGTGCCAGGCGTGGGTCGCGCACCAGCTGCGCTGGCTCGCTGCGTCCATGCGCGCACACCCGCTCGGCGCCACCGCGCGCCATCCCTGCCGTGCAATGCAGGACCCGCTGAACCCATTCCAACCAGACGGCATCGGCCCGGGCGGCCTGCTCAGCAACGGGGGCGGCGGCGCGGTCGGCGCAACCCGGCACGCCTCATTCACGCACCCCGACCCCCCAGGCCCGCCGCCGCCGTACGACTCGGTAGTGATGGGCGATGCGAACGCGGCGGCCGGCGGCAGCGGGGGCGCGGACGGTGGCGGCGGGACGCGCGACTTTGAGATCGTTGTGGCCGACCCTGTGAAGCAGGGCGAGGGCGTGTCGGCGTTTGTCTCGTACAAGGTGCGGCGCGCGCTTGCAAGGCGGCGCTGCGGGCGCCCACGGTAAGCCGCAGGCGACCGGCAGCTGCGGCACGGGGCGGGTAGCGCAGGCAGTTGCGTGGGCGCCGCCGCGGCTGGGACGGGAGTGGCGCGGCACCAGGCACGGCGCTCATGTCTGTGGAGAGCGTATGGTTCACATCGGCTGCTGCTGCTGCTGCTGCTGCTGCTGCTGCTGCTGCTGCTGCTGCTGCTGTTGTGCGGCATGCCATCAAACTGCTGCGGACGGGCTCGCTGCGGTCGCCGCTCTACCTCTCTCCAGGTGCGCAGCCGCACCAACCTGGCTCAGTACGCGCGGCCGTCGAACGAGGTCATCCGGCGCTTCCGCGACTTTGCGTGGCTACATGACCGGCTGGCAGAAGAAAAGAGGTGCGGAGGGGCCAGCCGGGGCGCATGCGATTGTGCGGCTGGCTTGAGGCAACTGCATGCAGTTGGCCGAGCATGGATGCGTGCGCTGCAACCTGGCCCAGTTGTCAGTTGACGTTCAGGGCCAGGGCCGGGTCAGGTGATGGATCCGACCCGGCAGCTTCCTGCGGCGCCTGCCTGTGGGCCCCCACCCGCAGGGGCGTCATCGTGCCGCCGCTGCCAGAGAAGAACGCTGTGCAGAAATTCACTATGGGGACAGACTTCATAGAGGAGCGGCGGCGGGCGCTGCAGGTGCGGGCGCGCCGGCGGGGCCGGCTCGCACATCATTTGTGGGGAGGGGGCGTGACTTTGATTTGGCTCGCCTGCGCTCCGGCCATCCCGGGGGCGAGGGGGCGGCAAGCCCCCTGACCCCCCGACCTCCCTGCAAGCCCCGGCGCTCCACCATTTGTCGTGTGGCACGCTCCCGCCGCCTCTGCGCGCAGGTGTTTGTCAACCGTGTGGCGTCTCACCCGGAACTGAAGGCGACCCGCGCGCTGCAGCGGTTCCTCGAGTCGAATGAGGACGAGTTTGCGTTGGAGGTGGCGCTCACCACCGCGGTGGGTTGTGGCTGCATGCGGCTGCTTGACCCGCGGCTGCTGGGGTTGCTGCCAGGAGATGGCCCAAGGATTCTGCGCAGTTGGCACCTTGTTCCAAGGCTTGGCTGACAGTTGGGACGCGCAATACGCAACATCTGAGGGTCCGCCACAGCAGAGCAGCGCAGGTCGCCCGCGTGTCGGCGGCGCTGCCATCAATCAGTCCCCTCTCGCTCTCCTGGGCATCGCCCCTCCCCCACGCGCAGGCTGCCGGCGGCGCGGCCAAGAAGCGCCTTGATGGGGCTGTCGGGTGGTTCAAGGGGCTGGGGGGCGCCGCCACCAGCCTAGTAGCGGGGAAGAGCTCGTCGGACGCGGCAGAGGACCCTGAATACGTCAAGGTGTGGGCTCAGCAAGGACGTGGTGTGTGTGCATGTGTGCGTGCGTGCGTTCGTTCGCGCGTGGGTAGGTGGGTGGGTGTGCGTGGGGGTGTATTTGTGTACGGGTTTGGGGGTTGGGGGGCCGTTGGTGGGTTTGTGTTTGTGTGAGTACACAGAAACAGTACGAGTACACATCACGTAGTCTGTGATGTGTATGTATGTGTGTGTGCGCGCACGTGCGTGCGCGCACATGGGCATTTGTGTGGGGACTCGTGCGTGCGTGCGGTTGCAGCGACGTGTTCAAAGTGCTTTGTGATTGCCTCAGCTTCAGGTGCGTTGCGGCAGTCCAGTGGATGCATGCACAGCGGCCCTGCAAGGTTGCGTGTCTGGCAACCCCAGCAGTCATCTTACATATTATGCCACCAACGCTGCATTTTTGCGGGTTGCGGTTGTACCTGAGTTCGGCCAAGAGTTTGTGTTGGTTGCAGCCCTGCGCGTCGCGTACATCTGAATGACATCTGGTTCGATCGTCTGCCCCATGCCTTCCACTGCCTGCCCAGGTGCGCGACTACCTGACCCAGCTGGAGAGCCACCTCGGGGAGGCTGCGCGCCAGGCGGGACGGCTGGTGGCCAAGGAGACAGAGCTTACAGAGGCCCTGGGGGAGTTTGGGCAGGTGTGCGCGCGGGCAGGGCGGCTGAACCACGGGGACCAGGAAGACACACCGCTGCTTTGAGTGCGTGATTTTTGCGCCTCGGCCCGCCGCGTCTGCCAACCCTGCTTTTGGCTGCCCATCACTGGCACCATGCCAGTTGATAGACAGTACTCGCGCACCTTGCCGCGGCGGCTCTTGCCCTCGCCTTGCGTGTGGTGTTGCGCCGCCAATCAAGCGCCGCCTGGTGCAGGCTGGTCGGTGCGGGGCGCCCCTGCCCTCTGACCTTCCCCTGTGCTGAGCGGCCGGCGGTGCCCTCCCTTTGACACCCCGCCCGTGCGCCCGCCGCCGCGCAGTCCATCGAGAAGCTGGGGCGGCTCGAGGAGGGCAACGTGGCCGAGGCTTTCCAGCAGCTGGCTTCCAAGGTGGGGCCGACAGCCGCGCGGCTCGCGCGGTGGGGCGGCCGCGCACGGCAATGGCGTCCAGGGGCGCGACCGGTGGCGAGGCAGGCTCGTCTGGCCTCGCTTGCGTGCCAGGTTTGCCGAGGCGTCCGGCGGGCGCGTCAACGCGCAGCGCCGCCCGCCGCCCTGCCACGCACCCGCCCCTGCAGGCTCAGGGGATGTCGGAGTCGCGCAAGGGGCAGGTGGCGCAGCTGGCTGCCAGGTTTGAGGCGCCCATCAAGGAGGTGCGGCGGCAGTGCCAGCGGCCGCAGCAGCAGCAGCGGCAGCGGTAGCGAAAAAGAGGTCGACTGCGGGCTGCGGCGTCGTCTGGCTGCGTGCGAGCCTTTCGGCCACGCGGCTTTTGGTCCTGGGGCTGCCTGTCGGTCCTTCGCACGGCTTGCCTGGCCCCGACAAACCCTGCTAAGCCGTCTATGGGCTGGCGAGGTCCTAACACTCCCGCTCCTCTCTCCCTGCAGGCCGTGCGCTTCGTCCGCGCGGCGACCAATGTGTGCAACGACCGCGGCGTGGCGCTGGCCGCTATGCAGGCTGCCAAGCACGACCTCGACACCAAAAAGGTGATATCAAGGAATGCCGGCGACGCGGCGCGACACAAGGGGCGCCAGCACCCCTGGCCTGCTGCAGCCACAGCCAGCCTGTGGATGCCTGTCGCTGCGCGGCTGATCTTTGCCGTGCTGCAACGTGCTGCGCGTTCGCGCTCATCTGCTGGCCCATCGATCGCCCGTCCGCCTTCGTTTGACCGCGTTGACCGCAGGTGCGCTACGCCAAGCTGCGCGGCACCCCTGGCAGCGCGAGCGATAAGCTGTTGGAGGCGGAGCGCGACGTGACTGAGGCAGAGGGCCGCGTGAGCAAGGCGCGCGCAAGGTGGGGGCGTGCGCATCGTTGCGGGCTGTGTCTCGGGCTGACGCGCTGGTCAGCGCTCTCCGCGGCGGCCGCTGCGCCGCGGGGGCGCGGCCCTGCGCGGCCCCTCACGACGGCAGCGGGCCGATCGTGGCGCCCACCACGCCCCGCCCCGCGGCGCCTTGGGCGCGCCGCACCTGCCCGCCATCCCCTCAAGCGCCGTCCCCCCAGCCCCGCCGCCACCTTCTGCTGAGCTCTTGCAAACTAAACCCCGCCGACCGCCCGCCTTCCGGACCCGCCGCCGCCGCCGCCGCCGGCAGCTATGAGGAGCTCGTGTCCACTCTGACGGAGGAGCTCAACCGCTTCCAGAAGGAGCGCGCCGCCGACACCAACGCCCTGCTGCGGGACCTGGCACTCGTGCAGGTGCGCCGCACCCCCCGCTCAGGGGCAGGCCGCCGCCCCAGCCTCGGCAGCCAGGCCCCCGTCGCCCGGCTCACGAGCCTCGCGCCTGCGGCTCGCTGCAGGCGTGCCAGCTCCTGCGCCTCAACCGCGGCAGCGTCTCCTCGTGCCATCCTGCCTCGCCAACCCCCTTGTCGCGCCGCACTTTAACCCCCACCCCCCACGTGCCTCAGGCGTCGCTGGCGGCGGACGGCGCCAAGGGCTGGAGCGCGCTGCTGAACGAGCTGCAGGCCATCCAGGGCAACGCGCCCGCCGCCAGCTAGCGCGCCCCGCCCACCCGCAGCGATGCCTCTCGCCGCACAGGCGTTCCTGCCCAGCCGTGCCTTATGGGCACTTGGCTGCTGCATCCTGACTTTGGAAGCCTCTCCTTGCATGTTGTTTGCACTTGCCGATTATAGAATACTGTGCGGCGAGCAGGGCTCGGCCCACTCGGCCCTGGCGTAGGTTACTCAGCCAGGCGCGCTGGGCAGTGTGTAACATGAGTCATCAGCATCATGCGTGCGAATGCATTACTGTTTGCTGGAGCAGCACCAATGGCGAGGATGGTCCGCCTTGTTGTTGACTGTTGTTGACCGTGTTGGTGGGGCATGGTTCAACCCCAGATAAGATCGGCGGCGCTGAGGTAATCGGCTCGCAGACAACTAAAAGGGATTCGCCAACAGCTGGCGAGCCGTGCTGCACGGCGGCGGCCGGTGCAATATGACTTGCAATGCAATGCAATGCAATGCGCGGCTGGGAGGGGAGGGCAACCAACAGGTTGTGCATTGTGCTATCCCATGATCAGGGCGGGGGTGAGCGACACGCTCACAAGGGTACAGATCAAGCGGCTGGCAGCAAACTGAGATGGACCAACTGATGGGCGTCTATCTATCTGAAAGGCGCAGTGCAAGGGTGGTTCTGACAAGGTGTACGCATGGCTGATCGCCAAATTTGAATGCAACTGGCTGGCCAAGCGTATCGCTGTGCGCCCACAAATGATGCCACACAACATCAGCTGCGCCCCTCCTCGTCACGCTGCGCGACAGCCGCCTTCGCGCTCCCCGACAGGAATGGCAGCGCAGCACCGCCGTCGCCGCACGGCGGCAGGCGACGGGCCGGCGCAGGCTGCCAATGCATCAGTCCACTACCAAGCGCCCTTGAAATTGCAGCGCCGGACAGAGGGCCAGGCAAGGGCTGCTGCGTCCCAGAGCCCAAAATGCTGTTCTGTTTCAATGGTGTTCGACACGTCACACGCTGCTAATCTTGTACAGCTCTGCGCGGCCTGCGCGCAGCCCCGAACCGCACCAGGGCTGCGGGGCTGCCACCACGCCTTGGCTCACCGCGCGGCCCGCTCGGGGCCGTCCCCCTCGTCGTCCGCCTCGCAATCCTCAAGCCTGAAAGACCGCAGCCGCACCAGCTTCCCCCGCCGCCCCGCCGCCGACTCGGCGTCGGCCCCGAAAGCTGCAGGCCGCGGCCCCGGAGGCGCCGCGCCCGCCAGCGGCGGCCGCGGCGCGCAGCTGAAGGAAGCCGACCGCGCCGGGGGCGACGGCGAGCGCGCCCCAGGCTCGCGCTCTCCATCGGAGAGCTCGCCGTCTGTCGCTTGGCCGCCGGGGCGGCGCCAGTAGGCGACCGAGACGCCTTCCGCGGGGCGAGACAGCAGCTTGAGCTGCCTGGCGTCCGTGGAGCGCGACGGGCTGGGGTGGCACGCGGCGCTCGGCGACGCGCTGCCTGCGCGCGAGGGCTGCGAAAGGCACTCGGTGACGAGCCTGCTGGCCAGCAGCCCCTCCGCATTGCCGCCCACCGCCTGCGCGCCCGCCGCGCGCGCGCGCGGCTGAGCTGCTCCGTCCGCGCCGCGCCCGGCGGGCGCGCGAGCGCCCTGGGGGCCC